TTTTTAGTTCCCAGAAGATGAGAAGAAGAAATGCTTTTTTTATTTTTTATCTTTTATCAGTAGGAAAAATGGGTAATAATATAAAGCTAGTTCAAATCAGTGTATTAACATTATTAAATGTGGATTATGTATGTATATATTGTCAGGCATGAAAGACCAGGTCCACACGTGAAGGTCAATTAAACTGATTTATTGCTAAACAGCCTATGCACAGGAATCTTCTCAATTAACAGCATCTACTTGGAGTTAAATAAGGGTCAATGGGATTCAAGGAGGGATAGACTGCTTGTAGAGATGTAGGGATTCTAGGCTGTTCCCTCTTTTAACTCTGGCCCCTGATTCTGCCACTTCTCCTACATCATATAGACATTTGATAAATACATCTCTTGAACCTATACCAGTGTTTCTCAACCTTGGCAACTTGAAGATGTCTGGACTTCAACTCCCAGAATGACTGGGGAATTCTGGAAGTTGAAGTCCAGACATCTTCAAGTTGCCAAGGTTGAGAAACACTGACCTATACATTTATTTCATGAAAGAGCCCTAGACTCAAATAAATCCAGAATTCCAGAATTCTTCATAAAATGTCAGATGCCATATTTTGAAAGTATGGTAATGAAGCTCCCTACTACAGATAGATCTATAAAACATGGTCTGCCCCAACCTTGGAAAATAAATTAAAATATTTCTACTTTATTTTTTTAATCACACTTGATCTAAGACATTTATAAAGCTATCTCATCATCATAATTATTGATAGATATATTTCTTTCTCCTGGTCTCCTCCAAGAAAGGGAAGCCTGGTCAATGTTCAGAATTTTGAGGCCAGGCAATGGCTACCATCTTCTTCAAAGCAGATGCCATCACCCTTTCATCCATAGATACATTTATGATGGTCCAAACCAGGGGTGAAATTCGACAGGCTCTGAAGAACCGGTAGCAGAAATTTTGAATAGTTCAGAGAACCGGCAAATACCACTTCTGGCTGGCCCCAGTCAGAATTGAGATTTTGTAATATCCCTCCCCCGGAGTGGGGTGGGAATGGAGATTTTGCAGTATCCTTCCCCTGCCACGCCCACCAAGTCATGCCCACAGAACTGGTAGTAAAAAAAAAAATTTGAATTTCACCACTGGTCCAAACCCATATCCTAGTCATGTGACTGAAGGCTTTCTTCAATAAGGAAGGGAAGGATGAAACATCTAAATTTTAAAAAAATAATAAAACAATCCAAACTACAGGTGGAAAGCTGATGAGATACAGAAGTGGTCTGCTTCCTCAGAATTCACCATTTAAGGTGCCATTTTGGATGGCATTTTGCAAGTGCAATAAGATTGAAGAAGTGTTGACATTCTGGTGCTCTGATTACCATTTATGCCTGAACACTTACTTCTCTTCTCTTCTTTCTTCTTTACAAGAAGGAATTATGTTAGGGAGCAGAAGGAAAGTGTGCATACTAAACTTTCAACTAATTTACAGGTTCTAAAATTAATTGCTTGTGCCATTTTCTTAAAAATAAATACTCTCAGCTGTTTTTCCTGTAGTACCATGGAGGATATCTTTGGGACTAAAATACTTCAATTACCACTATGACCGCACATAGTTTAAAAGCACATCTTGAAACACACCCACAGAATTACTAGTTGCCACAACTATTGAGGCACATTCATATTTATCTATTTGACATTCTCAGGAATAAATCAGTTGATGAAGACAACCTTGCATTTTAACATTAAAAGCAGGAGACATTCATACTACCTGTAATCTTCTGCCTATATTTTTCAGCATTTGCTGAAGACGCAATTGATAATGCTCCTGTTATCTCATGCATCTATACAATTTGTGGAATACAGTACAAAAAAAAATACTGTAGAAAATATTCAAAACTCTGGTTTAAAAAAGAAAATATAAAAAGGCATTTTAATGGCAGCATCTATCCTTTTTAAAAAGATAATTTCAGCATTAATTTAAATCAGTTTGATATACACACACAAAATAAACCCTAGACCTGAGTGTGTGATGAATAGGAATTTCCAGGAGAATCCTTGAGTTTTTTTCATAAGCCATGTGCATTTAACAGTAGCTTATAACACACTCATTGATAGGAGAGGGAATTGAAAGATCATACCCAGGATGAGGAAATACCTTATATGAAGTAAAGAGCACCCAAGTCTCAAATACCAACCCCTTAGATAGGAACAAAACATTGATCTCTAAGAAGTTTATAGACTACAATAAACTGCTAAGGATTCACTAACTGTGACTTTTTAAATTTCATTTGACCAACCTATTTCCACAAGATATCCTATAGGCATATTTTTAATCAGAAACAAAAGGCTGTCAGAAACTCAAAATACCTCAGATTTAGCAATAGCAATAGCAGTTAGATTTATATACCGCTTCATAGGGCTTTCAGCCCTCTCTAAGCGGTTTACAGAGTCAGCATATCGCCCCCAACAACAATCCGGGTCCTCATTTCACCCACCTCGGAAGGATGGAAGGCTGAGTCAACCTTGAGCCGGTGAGATTAGAACCGCTGAACTGCAGATAACAGTAAGCTGAAGTGGCCTGCAGTGCTGCATTTAACCACTGCGCCACCTCGGCTCTTTACAGATAAGGGAATAGTACTTTAGAGAGGAAAACAGAGCAGATAATATACCCTCAATAATTTTATGCAAGGTTTACCTTTAAAGAATATAATACATACAGTATGCCTGTTAATTACAATCTCTAAAAGATACTCAGATTTTAAGGCTTGTATCAGATCAGCTATTTTATGACTTTAATATTATCTGGGTGTGGAGGAAATATTTAACTATCAGTTTTCTGTATCTTTCTTACATATGATTTTGCTAGATGCACATACACAAAAGAGTTAGCCAGACCTACAATTATTAAGTAAAATATCTGAAAGGATGGAAAATTCCAAAATGCCCTAATGGGGATTGAACACACGTAGTGGGCATGGCATAGAAGACTTCAAAGAATAGGAAACACAGTTAAATGGAATGCAACATTTTAGAAAAGGACACTTTTGGATGGAACAGGGTAGCGTGAGGTGAAACTGCAATGGATTTGGGGGGGGGGGGTTGCAAGTTCCAAATTTCCATATAATTCACATGAAAATTGGTCCCTTTCTTTTGAGGCCAAATGCATAATTTCATACAACGAAGAGAAAAATGTCAGGTATGGATTATAAAAAAGGCAACAACTCCACCCCCCCAAAAAACCTCACTCTCAAACAAATGCAAGGAATATCCACACCCTCATTTTTAGAATCTTTTGTTCCCCCAAATCACAGATAAACACAGGCTGGGAAGAGGAAAAAAACCTGTAATCCAGCCAAAATATTATGGATGAGATATGGTTGGTAATGTTAATAAATTGCAAAGGATGATGCTATGTTTAGTATATCTCTGAAGCGTTTCCTTTTAAACTGTTCTGAAACTTTACTAGAGTTTATATAATTGCAGATGTACGGCCTGTGTTTTACAAAAAGCCAACTTCAGATGGAAATTTTAATAAAGAAGGAGTTGTGTGGGAAGAAAGAAGGGGTGTGCCATCCCTACTTTTCCAGCTTCCTCGCCAAGCCTGTTTGCTTCCCACCAACAAAGTTTGCAAAACTGAGTTCTAAGAGATTGCTTTGCAGTCCTAAAACTTAGGGTGCAGAAGGATCAAAAGGATCGCTTTCATTTACCAACCATATCAGAGAGCCGAGGTGGCGCAGTGGTTAAATGCAGCACTGCAGGCTACTTCAGCTGACTGCAGTTCAGCTGTTCAAATCTCACCGGCTCAGGGTTGA